GCCAGTGCAGCTGCGCCCATGCATGACCACACTAAATTAAGCAGGAGCAGCAAACCCTTTCAACATAGAGGCGGGCCTGTCGGGCAGCTGCAGCGCCGCGGACGCCCTCGCTCTGTCCAGCCCTGTCAACGGGACAGCCAGAGGAGATAGTCCGAGATACCCTCGAAGCGTCCGGCGGACAGACGCAGAAATGTAGAATTCTCGGCAGGTGAATGACGAACGTCGGAAGTGTGAAGAACTAGGCGTTGAAGCCCACGCATTTGCATACAGGCTTGCAACCATTAGCCATCGTCAGGGCAACATATCAGTAGTCGCTGGTAGATGTAGCTATACACAGTACGAGTTTCTCTAACAGCCGCAGCAGCCTTGCACGAATGACGGCTGGACTAGTCTAGTTATTTAATTTTAAAAGCATTTTAATGTCAAATAACGTACTTCTGATGTTTCGTCGACGAATATTTTCACCAATAGTGATACTCAGGAGGGCAAGTTGCGTTGTTGTTGTTGCGATGCACGCGGTTAGCTTCTCTCATGCACGTGATTTCGTAGTTCCTTCGCACAAGTAGCATAAGAGCATACGCAATAATATGCATTTGTAATATATAAGCGTGTGCGCGTGAGCGTTTGCGTGCGGTAAGTATGTCACATAGATGTATCTACCCTGGCAAGCAGGTGTCGGCGTGTATAAGAACACAAGGGGATATTATATGTATATATATATAATATCTTTCATCACCAAAGCAAGCGCAGCTCACTTCTGTGCGACAACTATAACTATATATATATAGTTATAGTTTTCGCACAGAAGTGAGCTGCGCTTGCTTTAGTGATGAAAGATCGTGTTCCTTTACTATAGACTCAATAGGTAAGCCTTCGAAGATCTGGCATCAAGAATTCGCCCAATAAAAATGCAGCTGCAGCCTGGCTTGAGCCTGTTAGCGCTACGACAAAACAGACACTCACAGGCATGCGATTCTCTACCTCACACTACCACACGGTCCTTCTCGGATGGCTGTATGACGTTTCTGCCTCAAGATTTGCAAGAGTTGACACCGCTTTTATAGTAAATATATACAGTTTTTAAACATAAATGATTTCGAACAGCTCTAAAACATAAATTAAAGTAAGAATAATACGCATTTTTAAACATTGAAAACGCGATAACGTGCGGTCGTATGTTTTATTCGTATAATTTACGTAGCGTTGTAACTGACTACGGCAGTCCACACTCAACCTTGTGGGAACCGCACTGCCTCTGGCAGACTGATGATACACAGAACAAACAGCTTCTACGAATATTCTTGAACAGTACCCAGCCTCAACACAGAATAATTACATGCCAAGTTATCTACAGATATCAAACGATCACATTTGAATAATAATATTAACTCATTTTTACGACTATTTACGTTGCATTTTATCTAATTACGAAATCAATATCGTGAGATATAATCAGACAAATACTGGCCTTTATGTGGTGGAAATAAGGTATATTGTACTCCTGGTGTCAGATCACTACTATATTCATCATTTCATGCATTATGCATCACAATCACCACGATTCTATATCATTATATCATTAAATATTGTTTGATTATGCTATATCAAAATGCGCAAGAAAACAAACACTTGCCTCTACATTATTTCGGCGGGTAATTTAGGAGTGCTGGAAATCAGTTATATTATCCCCAGCAAAGCTTCGTCGTTGTGTTACTTGTATGCGACTCACTCCTACCCCCCCCCCACACACACACACGCACACACACACACACACACACGCACACGCACACGCACACGCACACGCACACGCACACGCACACGCACACGCACACGCACACGCACACGCACA